ACACACACACACACACACACACACACACACACACACACACACACACACGAGACAAAGGCCTGCCCTCTCAGCCTGGCTTCCTTCCCTCACTTTCATGGCCTCTGGCCTCTGTTGACATCCTGGAGCCAAGGAATGACTGGAAGAGAGCTGGGCATAATTAACAGAAAGGTGGTATGAAGTCTATGAAGATTGAAAACTGACCAGTGGTTGCCAAAGACTGGAGGTGGGGAATATGGAGTAGCTTACAAGTTACAGAGTTTCCTTTTGGTGTGAAAAAGTCTGGAACTGGATGCTGCAGTTAAAAAATGTTTATGTTGGGGCTAGAGAGATGGCTCAGTGGTTAAGAATGCTTATTGCTTTTGTAGAGGACCCAGGTTTGGTTCCTAGCACCCACATGGAAGCTCACAATCATCTGTATCTCCAGTTCCAGGGAATCCAACACTCTTCTGGCCTCCAGGCACAAGGCACACAGGCAACGCACATACTTGCAGGCAAACATGCACATAAAATAAAATTTTTTAAAACTGTATATGCTAAATACCCCTGAATTGTTAACTGTAAAATGGCCAAAGTGGTAAATTTTGTGTTACATATATTTTACCATGAGAATGAGTAGATGGCTAAGGGAATAGGATGGCAGATGGCTGAGGGAGTAGATACATCTCTATAAAACACGAAAGAGTTGTCAGGTTTTTAAAAAATATTATTTTATTTTATGTGTATGCGTGTATTGCCTGCATGTAGGTAAATGCACCCGTGTTGTGCAATGCCCATGGAGGACAGAAGAGGCTGTCAGATCCCCTGGGACTGGAGTTACGGACATTTGTTAGCCACCATGTGGGTACTGGGATTTGAACCCGGGTCTTCTCGAAGAACAGTCAGTTCTTAACCACTGAGCCATCTCTCCAGCCTGAGTTGTCAGGTTTTTAGTGACAAGATTATAAGCCTTGTTTTTTAATTTGTTCCCTAAATGACATCTTAAACACTTTCTTCCTTTTTTTTTTTTTTTTTTGGTCTTTTTGAGACAGGGTCTCCCTGTAGCCTCAGCTGTCCTGGAACTCACTATGTAGACCAGGCTGGCCTTGAACTCACAGAGATCCACCTGCCTCTGCCTCCCGAGTGCTGAGATCAAAGGTGTGCGCCACCATGCCCAGCTAGAAGTTTTATTTTTAAAAAGCCCCCTCCACCATCTTCCTTTACTTCCTATGATACCCTCTGGGATTTTCTGTTTGTTTGCTGCTGCTGTTTTGGTGGTTTTATAATACAGGCTGGGCTCAGTCTCTCCACAGTCCTTTTACCTCAGCCTCTGTTACTGAGATTACAGGTGTATACCAGTAGACCAGGTTGTTTGTGCTTCGAGACAGAGTCTCACTACATAACTCAGGCTGGCCTCAGACTCTCAGTCCAGCCTCAGTCCTGTGCTGGGATTACAGGTGTGCCTTAATCATGCTCAACTTGTTTTTATTTGTTTAGTTTAATTCTCCTTATAGTCTACTAGATTGATGTCATGGTCCATGAGTGGAACATAACCTATACTTTAAAAAGCACTCCATTGCAGACAATGAGTGATCCTTGAAGATTTTGGAGATCTTTAAAATTTTTATTTATTTATTTATTATTTATTTATTCATTTATTTATTTATTATCAGTATTATTACTGTGCGTGTATATAATGAAGGCTGGGGTAAGGGAGCAGTGCATGTGCCATGACATGAATGTGGAGTTCAGAAGTCATCTTCGTGGAGTCATTTGTTTACTTTCATCTTTACATGAGTTCTGGGAATGGAACTCGTGTCATTAGGCTTCCTTGGCATGTGTTTTACCCACTGAGCCATCTTGCCTGCCCTATTGAGGTGTCTTTTTAGAAACTCAGCATTGCTGCTGTGGTTTCTGTAGGTGTCCTCAAAGATAGTTAGAGCCATGGGATCAGTTGTAAAGAGCCATTGTTCCTGTATCTGGGCCATGGAAAATGAAAATGAGGTGTGTGCCATTGTCTTCTAAAGCTGTATCCCGTATGTGGATGATGGAAAATAATCCAGAGCTGTGTACTTTTCTCCATTGAGTTGGGATTGGCATTTGGGGCCTAGGCACTTGGCTATTGGTTCTTTCAGTGACTGCACAGAGCTGTGTTTCCTCCATTGTGCAGGTTATGTGAAGTTACCGCCAGAGAAATTTGCCCCCAAGAAGCAGGGTGATGGTGGGAAGGACCTCCCCACAGAGGCGAAGAAGCTGCAGCTGAATTCTGCAGAAGAACTCTATGCCGAGATCCGGGACAAGAATTTCAATGCTGTGGGATCCGTGCTCAGCAAGAAGGCGAAAATCATCTCTGCAGCATTTGAGGTAAGACAAGCCTTGGGGCATCCTGCTATACTCGGTGTGCCAGATGGAATGCCTGCCAGAGGAGAGTAGAGCTCCCAGACCACATGGCAGTGTAGCACAGGCCTTCTTGAATGTTGTCCACTCATGACCTCTTTTTGCCTGAGATATTTTTATAGGACCTGCATATATAGGTATGTAGCATAGATATGCAAATCATAAGGGAATTTACTTTAAAAAAATTGTTTCATAGGCCGGGCGTGGTGGTGTACACCTTTAATCCCAGCACTTGGGAGCAGAGGCAGGTGGATCTTTGTGAGTTCAAGGCCAGCTGAATCTACATAGTGAGTTCAGGTCAGCTGGGACTACAGGGAGACCCTGTCTCAAAAAGACAAAAAAAAAAAAAAAAATTGTTTCATATAATTACACCATTTATTAAAGACAGGAACAAATTTGCATACCAATGAGGTACATACACTTTTTTTTTTCATGTGTTGCATGTATTGCCTGCATGTATGTGAATGCACCCATGTTGTGCAGTGCCGCAGAGGTCAGAAGAGGGCATCAGATTCCCCTGAAACTGGAGTTAAGGATGGTTTGTAGCCGCCATGTGGGTGCTGGGAATCGAACCCGGGTACTCTGCAAGAGCAGTCAGTGCTCTAAACTGCTGAGCCATCTCTCCAGCCCCCATATACTTACTTTTACATAAAGAATTAAATATTGGCTGAATATTTCATACTCAGGACATAGAGCATCTTCAGTGTTTAATTTCAGAGTCAGTGTTTTGATTTTGTAATTGTGAATGCTGAGACTTCTCCTTCCTTTTAGTGTGTAGTACAAAACTATAGGGGTATGTTTAGGACCATTTCAGAAATTGTTGGAAATTCTGTCCAAAACACGTGCACACATGTGCGTGAGAGTGTGTGTGTGTGTGTGTGTGTATGTGTGTATGCTAAAGGCCAGAGACCAACCTCAGGTGTTGTTCTCAGCAGGCTGACCAGTGAACTCCAAGGATCTACCTGTCTCTGCTTTTCCAGAACTGGGATTACAAATGCATGTCACTAGGCCAGCTTTTCACATGGGTTTTGGGGATTGGGTCCTCATACTTCCTCAACAGGCAGTTTACTTACTGAGCTATCTCCTCAGCCCCATTTAATGATCTTTGAAAGGAAACTGAAATAGCAATTTTGATTTTATTTACTTGTTTATTTAACTTACTTGGTGTTTTTGAAACAGGGTCTCATGCAGCCCAGGCAACCTTGCATTTGCTATGAAGCCAAGGGAGACCCTGTCTCAAAAAGACCAAAAAAAAAAAATAATAATAATAATAACACATGCAAACTTAGGCAGACCAAAACCCAGCACAGAACTGTGGTGAACAGCAAGCCCCAATTTTAGTCAAAGAATTATCGGCAGTTGATTACTGCTGAGTGAGGAAGTCTCCCCTTGAAGGGAGAGACTAGATAGGCTGACTAAACCCTGGTGGATGAACTTGCACTGAGGGACATCTCAAGACACTAACTTTACATAATAGGCCCTAATACAAAAATTCTAACACAATACAATCTAAAGATATACTCATTTGATACTTCATATACTAAAGGATGACAATGCTAAGTTTTCTCTAATTAAACCCTTATATTTCTTTAAGAGCAGAAATCTTTTATACAGTGAAAAGACTGATTCATCATATGCAGTAGCTTTGAATCTGACCTGAGCTGTGTGAACAGTGCTCATTACCTTGGGTGGTATGAGGGCATGCATCTGGCAGAGGCTATGTTGTGTGTTCAGTGCCAACACTACAGTGAGGTCATGTGATATAGCACAGGTGAGCGCTACCAGAACCATCAGAGTTAATTTCTGGACAACACATGCTCAGAAACTTTACTGTTACTAAACTTTTGCTGCCCATACATCCAGCTATGTGACCCCATATGGCTGTGACCTATAGTTTAAGAAACTTTCTTGCTCTCAGTGCCTACAAGTTCAAGCAGACTTGAAGTTTTCTTCGTTCTTTTCTCTGGCAGTGGGCATTGAACCCAGGGCCTTGCACATGCTAGACGGTACTGTAGCACTCAGCTCCATCACCAGCCAAGGTTTTCTTCTTTTTAAACTTTTTCTCAAGCCTATGACAAGCTGGGCTGTGTTAAACATTTATCCTTTCTTTTTTAAGGGGTTTGAGAGCACAGTGCTGTACTGTAAATAAACCATGCCCTGCAGTAGAATTTGGAATTCATGATGCACACTTGAGGTCTCAGAGGAGCCCTGAGTGTGTGATGAGTGATAATGAGATCCAAATCCCTAGAGCTTCCAGTCAGCGGTTTCATTTTCACCTTCTACCCCTCTTGCTGTTAACTGGTTTATTCTTGTTGGAAAGCTTTTTCTTGTGGGAATTCAGTAGACTTACAAAGTCTGATTATTTAGACTTTGGAGATAGAAGTTGATAAATTTTTGAAAACTAGATTTTTGTTGTTGGTTTTTTTATTTTGAAAATGAATTTTTCATTGAGTATGTTGTTCCAGATTTTATCTTGCGTAGGGAATATATTTGTGAATGGATTTTCCATATTTCTGAAAACAGTTTTGGTTAACATTATTAAACCATTCTTGTTACTAAGTAAGGTTCACTTTGCTCATGGGCTGGCCTCAGGATTAAGGTTCAACAGCCAGATAAGATTTGTTTTTGTTGCACAGAAAATTGTTTACTGTTTGGTTTTATTTTATGACATGAGGTCTCTAATAGCCAAGGATGACCTTGAACTTCTGATCCTCCTGTCTCTACTTCTCAAGTGCTGGGATTATATAAGTCTTTACCATCATGCCTAACTTAGAAACATTTCACTATTTATGGTCCCTTCTGCTGCGTTTAATTTTTATTACTCGTGTGTGTGTGTGTGTGTGTGTGATAGTGGAGATTGAACCCAAGGCCCACTCATGTTCTGTCAGTGCTGTACCACTACACCATGTCTTCAGCCCTTGTTTGGGGTTTTTTTGGGGGAGAGGGTTATTGTTGTTTTATTTGGGATGGGCAAGTCAGGGTCTCCCTGTAGCCCCAGCTGGCCTGGAATTCAATTTTAGACTTTGATCTCACAGAGATCCACCTGCCTCTGCCTCCTGAGTGCTGGGATTAAAGGCCTGTGCTACCACATGTGGTAGCACATGTGTTGTTTTATATATTTTTTTTTTGGTTTTTTTTTTTGTTTTTTTGTGGGGTTTTTTTTTTTTTTTTTTTTGAGACAGGGTCTCCCGGTAGCCCCAGCTGTCCTGGAACTCACTATGTAGATCAGGCTGGCCTCAAACTCACAAAGATCCACCTGCCTCTGCCTCCCAAGTGTTGGGATTAAAGGTGTGTGCCACCACGCCTGGCTTATATTTTGTTTTTTAAGAAATCATTCTTGTATGTATGTGTATATATAAATATATGTGTAGTATATATATGTTCACATATGTTTGCAATGTGTTCACCCAGGTATGCAGGAGCCAGCAGTCGGGTGTCTTGTTCCATCACTATCTGCCTTACTCCCTTGATATAGGGTGTCCCATTGAACCTGGAGCAATACTAGGGCCCATCAAGCCCTAGCAATCCTGTTTCCATCTCCCACAGTACTGGAATTAGAGTCACCCAACATTTTATATCAGTGCTGGGTATTTGAACCTGGGTCCTCATAGTATGTGCTCTTATAGGCTGTCCTTGAACTCTAAATCCTCCAGCCTCAGTCTCCCAAGTGCTGAGATTATATGTGTGCACCATCACACACAGCTCATCTTAGTTTTTTATTAAGTTTGTATTATATAGCTAACATTGTCCTCCATTAATACTCAGATGCCCATAAAATATATAGTGCATGAACCAGTATATTTGGAAAATTATAGGCATTTGCTCTCTAAAGAAGTGCTATGTGGAAAATATGCACTATGTTCTCTTTCAGTGGCCTTTATCTTTTATTTGTAGTTTTTATTATTTTTTAATATTTATTTTATGTGTATGAGTATATTGCCTGTGTATGTATGTAAGTGCACCCATGTTGTACAATGCCCGTGGAAGTCAGAAGAAGGCATCTGATCCCCTGGAACCGGAGTTATGGGTGGTTGTTAGCCTCTGTGTGGGTTCTGGGAATCAAACCTGGATCCTCTGCAAGAGCAGCTGGTGCTCTTAACCACTGAGCCATCTCTCTAGCCACTCATTTATTTATTTTATGTGTGTCGATGCATGTGCCATAGCACATGTGTGGAGGTCAGGGGACACCATGAGGGAATCAGTTTTCTCTTTCCACCGTGTGGATCCTGGGGATTGAACTCAGGTTGTCAGGTTTAGGAGCAGGCACCTTTACTTGCTGAGCCATCTCACCTTATCTTTTCTGCTGTTATGTATGATACTGGAGTTAGGGTTGATTTATATGTATTTTAGCTTGATTTATTTGTATTCTAGCTCTTCTTACTTGTTAATATAAATTAAACACCTTCTGACATACTCTACCTGATGGTACTGCTGTCTTAATCTATTCCAGGAGAGGCACAACGCTAAGACAGTGGGAGAGATTAAGCAGTTTGTTTCCCAGTTGCCCCACATGCAGGCAGCGAGGGGATCTCTTGCAAACCACACCTCAATTGCAGAGCTGATCAAAGATGTCACTAGTAAGTATCTTTTGCTGTGATTCTTCCATCTGGGACCAACCTTGCACTCAGTCTAATACCCAAGTCAGCAGTACCCTGATGCTTTCTTAGAAAGGTTAACTGTGTTTTTAAAATTTATTTTCTTGTTTTGGTTCTGGGAATCAAACAAGGACCTGTGTGTGCAAAGCAAGCACTCTACCACTGAGCTACCCTCAGCCCAGTCAGCTCCATTTTAATATCAGACATGCTTCTGACTATTAAGTGTGTTAATTTTTAGGGGTATTTTTGAGATAAGGTCTCATGTAGCACAGACTGGCTTTGAACTTGATATATAGCCAAAGCTGGTGTTGAACTACTGATCCTCCTGCCAGCACCTCTTAAATGCTGGGATTACAGGTGTGTGCCACCGTGCCTGACTTAGTGTATGGATATTGACAGTTAAGGATGATCCATTGTGATTAACTTAATTATTATTAATACTATGATAAAATATTTGGAATATGGATAAAAGTACACATCCAGAAGATTGTCCACATAATAATGTGAAGTAATTTTTTTCAGTCAATTTTTTTTTTCTTACTTGAAAGATTAATTAAAACAGTATGCTGTTCTGGGTTTTTGTTGGGGCTGTAGTTTTGGTTTTTCCCTTGAAATTTTTCTGCAGAGCTGGGAGTGGTACTGCATAAATATAATCCCAGAACTGGGAGGCTGAGGCAGGAAGATCGTCAGTTCAAGGACAGCTTGTGCTACATTGTGAGACTCTCAGACAAAAAAGAAAAGGGGTGGGGATGTAGTTCAGTTGGTGGAGTGCTTACCTAGCATGTATAAAGTTCTGGATTGTGATAGCACACCTTTAATCCCACCACTGGGGAGGTTGAGATCAGGAGGATCAGAGGTTCAGGTTTATCCCTAGCTAATAAGGAGTTCTAGGCCAGCCTGGTCTACATTAGACCTTGTCTCAAAAACAAACAGTGCCAATGAGATGACTCAGTGGGTAAACACTTGCCATGCAAGCCTGACTTCTGTCTATATATATATATATATATATATATATATATATATAAAGCCAGACTTGGTAGCTCATGCCTGTAATCCCAACACACTTGGGAGGCAGAAAGAAAAGGTTTGCCATGAATTCAAGGAGAGCCTGGGCTACACTGTGAGACTATATCTCACAAAAACTAAAAAGAGCCAGGCATGGTGGCACATGCCTTTAATCCCAGCGGAGTTCAAGGCCAGCTTGGTCTACATAGTAAATTCCAGGACAGCTGGGGCTACAGGGAGACCCTGTCTCAAAAAGACCAAAAAAAAAAAAAAAACCCACAAAACTAAAAAGAATGAAGACTTACTAAAGAATTGCTGTGAAGAACCTCACAAGTTATATATTAAACCCAAACACAAGTATGTTCAATTCAGGACTGTAAACTGAGGAAGAGTTTGTTCAGCACTGCATTTTCTGACATAGACTTTGAGTCTTAAGTAAATCACAGTGTTGGGAAATTAGTTCTTTCTCTGCATGTTACCCAAAGTGGAGATAAGTTGAAAGTAGGTTGGACCTGATGATAAAAGTTCTGTCTCTTGGGAAGTCAGCTCTTTTTGAAACTGGTTCTGTAATGTCCCAACCTTTGCATTTAAACCCTAAGGCTAGGAGAGGAGTACAGAGGTTGACAGTCTCTAAGAGAAACTTCAGAGTTCTAGGGTTTTCCATGTTGCTCAGAAGAGTCTTCAGGTGATGATTTAAATTTGTACCTGCTTTTCTTTTTTGCATGTCTTGGTTTTTTGTTTTTTTTTAATGTAGACCAGGCTGGCCTTGAACTCACAGAGATCCACCAGCCTCTGCCTCCCAAGTGCTGGGATTAAAGGCATGTGCCACCATACCCAGCTGCATGTCTTGTTTCTTAATCCGTCTTTATGCATAAAAGATACCACTCAAATAAATTAACATTTATTGAATTCTAAGTTGCAAATTTGCTAATTACATTTTAGCTTCTGAAGACTTCTTTGATAAATTAACAGTGGAACAGGAGTTTATGTCTGGAATAGACACTGATAAGGTATGTAGATAATATACCTCTTCTAATAAATAGTTGAAAGTTTGTCAAAGCTAAGATTAGAGCCAGATAGTCAGTAATCAATCCATTGTTTTGATTTCCATGCTTTGGCCATCTCTCTCTCTCTCTCTCTCTCTGTGTGTGTGTGTGTGTGGTGGGGATTGAATCCTAGCCTTGTGCATGCTAGGCAAGACTGCCACTGAGCTATATCCCCAGTCCAATACGTAAAATATTTAAGAACTGATGCAAAATATATGGCAGGGGAACACCATGATCAGGAAGATAGTTTTCCCAGGGCAAGGCTCATCCATTGCACTTGGTATGTGCTGACCCCTGCGATATCCCCAAATTTGGGAAACTCAACTGCATAATTTGTGTAGTGGGGGACTGTGTTTGTGCTCTCCCCTTAAAATGAAAAAAAAATTTTAAAGTTATGACATAAAAATTGCTCTAGGTAAGACACTTTTGGTGGCACATGGCAAGGTGAGACCTGGTTCCTGATAGCTAAGATTTTAAAAGACTGTCATAGATAAAATACATTTGTTGTTTGGGATATCCTGATAGCTAAGATTTTAAAAGACTATCATAGATAAAATACATTTGTTGTTTGGGATAGAGACGTAGGTCAGTGGTAGTAGAGTACCTGTCTAGCATGTGTCAGACCCAGTACCACTAACAAACAAATAATAATAGCCAGGCATGGTGGCACACACTTGTAATCCTAGCACTTGGGAGATGGAAGTATTTGAGGCTGACTTTGGCTGCATAGTAAGTTTGAGGCCAACCGGGGTTATATAAGATCCTTTTTTTTTTTTCTTTTAATTAAAAAAAAAAATTTATTATTTTTATTTTATGTATATGAGTGTATTGCCTGCATGTATGTCAGTGCACCTGTGTCGTGCAATGCCGCGGAGGTCAGAAGAGGGCTTCGGATTCCCCTGGAACTGGAGTTAAGGAGGGTTGGTAGCCGGCATGTGGGTGCTGGGAATTGAACTGGGGTCCTCTGCAAGGGCAGTCAGTGCTCTTAACTGCTGAGCCATCTCTCCAGCCCCTCTTTTGATTTTTTATGTGTATGTATGTATTGCCCGCATGTAGGTAAGTGCACCTGTGTCATGAAATGCCTGTGGAGGACAGAAGAGGCTGTTGGATCCCCTGGAACTGGAGTTACGGACAATTGTTAGCTGCCATGTGGATGCTGGGATTTGAACCCGGGTCATCTGCAAGGATAGCCAGTGTTCTTAACCACTGAGCCATCTCTCCTGCCCCAAGATCCTATTTTTTATAAAAAGACAAACAAAAACAAAGGAACCAGGATACTTGCTTTTTGAACTTGTTATTTAACTTCTTAAAATACTCCCATCACTTTATCCTAGATAAATTGCTGGAAGTTTCAAGACAGAGAAAGTCATAAGCCCCAAACATTTGACATCCTCTGAGCTGGTTGTTCACAGAAATAGATGGGTCCAGGCAGGTTTTTTGATTGCCTGATGATGTCCTCACTACCTTCTGCTCCTGGGTTGCTAACTGGTGTGTTTGTGTGATGGCCATCAGTTATGAAGAGTAGATTAGGGGAGCTACCTTACACAGGTGTTAGAGAATGAGGAATAATAGTAACATCAGATTATTTAAGTCCTTAAATTAGATAGTATGTATGTATATTTCATTTCTAGGTCAACAATTACATCGAGGACTGTATTGCCCAAAAGCATCCGCTGATCAAGGTGTTAAGACTAGCTTGCCTCCAGTCTGTGTGCAACAGTGGGCTCAAGCAAAAGGTTTTGGATTATTACAAAAGAGAAATCCTCCAGGTAGTATATTTAAAATTTTTAATTTGTCAAGGGGGGAAGGCATCTTTTAAAAATATAGTCCAGCCAGGAGTGGTGGTGCACGCCTTTAATCCCAGCACTCAGGAGGCAGAGGCAGGCAGATCTCTGTGAGTTCAAGGCCAGCCTGGTCTACATAGCGAGTTCCAGGACAGCTGGGGCTACAGGGAGACCCTGTCTCAAAAAGACCAATATATATATATATACAGTACATTGTTGTCACTATCTTTTAAAGTTTTTTATTTTTATTTATTTATTTATTTTTTTGTCTTTTTTGAGATAGGGTCTCCCTGTAGCCCCAGCTGACCTGAACTCACTATGTAGACCAGGCTGGCCTTGAACACACAGAGATCTGCCTGTTTCTGCATGCCCAGCCCTTGCTTTAATTTTTTTTTTTTTTTTTTGGTCTTTTTGAGACAGGGTCTCCCTGTAGCCCCAGCTGTCCTGGAACTCGCTATGTAGACCAGGCTGGCCTTGAACTCACAGAGATCTACCTGCCTCTGCCTCCCGAGTGCTGGGATTAAAGGTGTGCGCCACCACGCCCAGCCTGCTTTATTTTTTAAAATCACTATTTTTTTTTTAATGTGTATGAGTGTATTGCCCACATGCATGTGAGTGCACCCGTGTTGTGCAATGCTGTGGCAATCAGAAGAGGGCTTCGGATTCCCCTCTAACTGGAGTTAAGGACAGTTCATAGCTGCCATGTGGGTGCTGGGAATAGAACCCAGGTCCTCTGCAAGAGCAGTCAGTGCTCTTAACTGCTGAGCCATTTCTCCAGCCCCCATCACTATCTTTTTAACTAAATATTTAAAATCATGTTTGTTTATTTATTTACTTATTTATTTGCCTATGTATGTCTGTGTTTGAGCACATGTGCCATAATGCATGTGTGAATGTCAGAGGACAACTTGCAGAAGTTTGTTCTCTCCTTCCACCACATGGATCCTGATATGAAACTCATGTCATTAGGCTTGGCAGCAAGCACTTTTACTTGTTAAGCCATCTTACCAACACCTCTTTTTAATTTTTAAAAAAAATTTAATTTTTATTTATTTACCTAGGGTTTTGTTTTGAGATAGGATCTCCCTATAGCCCCAGCTGACCTAGAACCCCCTATGTAGACCAGGCTGGCCTCGATCTCACTGAGATCTGCCTGCCTGTGCTCCCGAGTACTTGGACTAAAGGCATTTAAATTTTTATTTATGTGTATGTGTGTTTATGCCATGTGTGTGCAAGTGTTCAAGGAAGCCAGATGAGGGTGTCAAATCCCCTGGAGTTGTAGTTACAGATGGTTGTGAGTTGCCTGATGTAGGTGCTAAGAACCCAACTCAGGTCATCTGGAAGAGCTGAGAGCACTCTTAACTGCTGAGCCATCTCTTCAGCCCCTCTTTGTTTAATTTTTTAACACCTAGAGGAATGGTTCTATCATTGTTTTTATTGTATTTGTGTAATAAAAATAATATAAATAATAACACTGTATTAGAAGAGCTTAAAAATGTTTATGTGTGTATTTAATCTCACAGTAGCCTTCTAAGTTAGATTCTGTTATCCCAATTTTATGGGTGGAAAAAAATCGAGACTTAGAATAGTTTTAGCTCACCCAAGGTCACTTGGCTAGTGTGTGGCAGAGCCAGTGCCAAAACCTAGGCAACTTGGGACTACTACTCATGTTTTTAACAAGACAGGAGGAACTAAGTGCAAATTCTGATAATTCCTTAATGACTTAAGCCTGCTAAACTTTATAAGAGAAAGCCCACTGCTGTTATAAAGAACAGTTCTCTCCTTTGAAATGTCTCAGACAGTGTTTACTCCTATTATCATGCACTGCTCAATATATTGGTAGCTTTTTGTTTTGTTTTATTTTCATCCTTTCTGAGTTACACAAATGACATGTATTCTCATAAGAGTCCAGTAATGGAGAAGTGTATGGAGTAAACTGTGGATGTCTTCCACACTGGCCACTGCCCTTTTTCTCCTCAGATGTGCCCAGGCCAACAGTTTGGTTTGCTTCCTTCCAGACTCCCATGTATTCTCTGCATGCATATAAAGAATGTTCATGTATACAGATATCAGAGTCACCGTGTGCTTCAAGGCCAGTGTGGTTGGATCCACTGATGTCTCTATACTCACTGGACCTTGGGCAAAATATATAACATTTCTATCAAATGGATGTGATAATTGCTACCTCATATGATATAGGGTAATTAAGTTAATGAATGTAAAGTGCTTAGACCAGAGCTCTGAGTAGCTCATAAAAAGCATTATACAAGTATTAGCTATTACTTGTATCTTTTTTAATTTAAAAAATTTTTTATTTTATGGGGGCATCTTTTTGAGACAGGGTCTCTCTGTAGCCCCAGCTGGCCTGGAACTTGCTTTGTAGACCAGGCTGTTGTGGAATTCACAGCTATACTTTTTTTAAAAAACAGAAATAAAATTCTGCTAGGCACAATATTTTATTATTAATATTTTTTTTGTCCTTAAGTGTGTGTCCAGAGGGGCCTGGAGAGATCGGTTAAGAGCCCTGACTGTTCTTGCTTCTGCAAGACTTAGGTTTGAATCCCAGTACCCATGTAGTGGCTAACAACCATCCATAACTCTAGTTCCAGGGGACCCAACGGCCTCTTCTGTCCTCCATGGGCACTGCACAACACGGGTGTACTTACATACATGCAGGCATAACACTCATACAAATAAAAATCAATTTTTAGAAATTTGAAAAGGGCTGAGCAGGACCGAGCAGCATGGGTGGTGGCCAGGGAGGCAAATCCAGGACAATGTCTGGGGAGCTACCACTCAATATTAACATCAGGGAGCTTCGATGGGATCAAAGCACTGTTGTTGGCCGAGCCAATCACTTTTTCACTGTGACAGACCCCAGGAACATTCTGTTAACAAATGAACAACTAGAGAGTGCAAGAAAAATAGTGCATGATTACAGAAGCCTTTGAGAGGGAGCCGACACTGATTCTAACCACTCTAACAGCCATCAAAATACCTGAAAGCAAATCCTGAATCCATCACTCTAGAGTCCTGCCTCAGAAGACAAGAAAAATGAGGAGGAACTCAATAGAGGGATGCTTTTGGAAGCCCTTGTCAAGAAATTCCAATGGACTCTCATAGGAACATTTGAAAATCGCTCTGTTCTTTTTTCTAGGACCCACCCCGTCTAGAACTTGTAATGCTAATTACTCTTGCCTTCTCCTTCACATCTATTCATGATTCAAGGACTTTCTTTTCCCCTTAGAGATCAGAGTTATGCAATTTGGAAGTCTTTAGATAGACCCACTTAAGGGGTACTCCAATTGCCTCACTCTGAGTCCCTGTTCAGCATGGAAGAAGCCAGAGTGGTCAGCGTCCCTATTCCCTACTGGCAATTTCAGTAACCTCTTCAGAGGATGGTGTGATAAGAATAGGAGGTAGGAACTGGCTAGGCAGTTAGGGTAAAAAGACCCCAAATAAAAGCAGCCAGTTTCTTGGCTATAAGTCAAAATGTTCTTGGGCTTCTTAGCAACATACTCTTTTCAAAGGCCAAAAATGTGGGAAGTATTTGGGAGCTTTTATCTAATCCTTTAAAGATTTTAGGGTTACCTCTTCAGAGGGGGGAATGTTAGAGTAGCCAAAAACTGCATAAAAATAAATAAATCAAAAAAGAAGAAAGAGTTAAAAAAAAAAACAACTTATGAAAACACATAGAAAAGGGCGTGCTTCCCCTCAGTGGGCACCCTGCTACTATATAGACAAATAATAAGTGTATATTAAAAGAAAACCACTGTCCGTCTCACAAATTAAGGCAAAAATCCAAAGTTAACGTACTGTCATATCACATCCAACTTTGTGTTACAGAATAAACTAGAAGAATGTATCCCAAGAATGAAAATGTGATGATGTAATTTGAAGACACTTATTAGTATAATTTATCACATTGGTCTATCAAAGTAGAGAGGCACAAGTGGACAGGTACTCCAAAAAACATCAACTCATAGACTGTTTCTTATAAAATAACTAATTAGCTAAGGATATGGAACACTTCTTTAAGATGATAAGGAATATATATCCCAAGCATTTATAAAGGAAAACAATATCGTAACATTTTGGTAATTCTATAAATTTCATATTTTTCAATCATGGCTTTTTTTATTTGTCTTTTTGAGACAGGGTCTCACTGTAGGCCCAGCTGACCTGAACTCACTATGTAGACCAGGCTGGCCTTGAACTCACAACGAATCTGCCTGCCTCTACCTCTGAGTGCTAGGATTAAAGGCATGCGCCACCATGCTCAGCTAATCATGGCTTTTTATTTAACAAGTTTCTGAAGCATAAATTAAATTATTTAAAAAAAATTTTTTAAAGGAAGGAATATGTCCAGAGGCCTGGCGTGCTGGTACACACCTTTAATCCTAGCACTCAGAAGGTAGAGGCAAGTAGATCTCTGTGAGGTCAGTTCAGGCCATCTGGGCTACAGGGAAACCCTATCTGAAACCCTCTCATTCTCCTACCCCCCAAAAAAACACCACCACCAAAAAAGAATATCTAGAGATTTTATCAGGATGTGTAGATAAGCCTCATCCTTTCTGATATATAGATATAAGTTCTTTTTTTTCTGGAGACAGAGTCTCTTTGTAGTCCCAGCTGCCCTGGAACTCACCATGTAGACCAGAGTGGACTTGAACCCACAGTGATCTACCTGCCTCTGCCTCCCAAGTGCCAAGTGCTGGGACTAAAGGCGTGTGCCACCATGCCCAGTTAGATAAAAATTCTTTAATGCTCACTTAGGTTGGGCCATCCTAAATCACACTTTGAAACAAAGACTGGATTAATAGCCTGGGTAAATAATTTTAGCACTGGTCTCACCGAATTGCCCTGGCTCTGCCCTGTGTCCTGGGCTCACTCATCTACACTCAGTACTTGACCTTGATATCCTGCCCTGAGGTACACACCAAATTGATTTGTTTGAAGTGCTCTTTTTTGAAATTTGCAGAAGCGCTTTTCCTGATTTAACATCAAGGCCAAATGACTCCTCTTGCAGACTTATGGCTATGAGCACATACTGACCTTGAACAATCTAGAGAAGGCGGGTCTGCTAAAGGCGCAGACAGGGGGCAGAAACAATTACCCAACAATTCGGAAAACACTACGCCTCTGGATGGATGATGTTAATGAACAGGTAAGATGCAGTCCTCTACTCTGAGTAGTCATCTACATATCTCCTTTGTTTGTTGATTTTTTTTTTAATCCCCATTTGTTTGTTTTTGTTTTGTGTGTGTGTGTGTGTGTGTGTGTGTGTGTGTGTGTGTTCTCAGACAGCTTGCAGGAATTGGTTTTCTCCTTCTACCTTGTGAGTTCCAGAGATTGCATGTGCCCTTACCTGCCAAATTAACTCAGTGGCCCTTCTTAGCCTTCTAAAAATACTGACTGGAGAGATGGCTCAGTGGTTAAGAACACTGGCTGTCCTTGCAGAAGACCTGGGTTCAAATCCCAGCACCCACATGGCAGCTAACAGCTGTCCATTAACTCCAGTTCCAGGGAATCTGACAGCCTGTGTCCTCCAAGGGCATTGCATGACATGGGTATACTTACCTACATGCAGGCAATACATGCATACACATAAAATAAAAATAAAATATTTAAAAAATACTTTAGCTAGGCATGGTGGCACATGCCTTTAATCCCAGCCAGCACTCAGGAGGCAGAGGCAGGCAGATCTCTGTGAGTTCAAGGCCAACCTGGTCTACATAGTGAGTTCCAGGACAGCTGGGGCTACAGGCAGACCCTGTCTCAAAAAGACCAAAAGAAAAAAAAAAATCTTTTCTAGTGTTTCTAAAAAATAAAAAAAAAAGATACATTTACATTTGTGTATTGTATCCATCCAGATCTCAGGAGGAAACAAAATGTCAAACTGGATGGTTTGAGGAGAGAGTAATAAAAATGTGAGCAGAGTAGACTAGCAAGAGGTGGTACAGTAGGGAGCCCTTACCAGCTGTCTTAGTTTCTTTTTTCTGTTGCCATGATAAAATACCCTGACAAAAGCAGCTTAAGAAAGGGTTTATTTTATAGCCAAGCATGGTGGTGCACACCTTTAATCCCAGCACTCGGGAGGCAGAGGCAGGTGGATCTCTGTGAGTTCAAGGCCAGCCTGGTCTACATAGTGAGTTCCAGAACAGCTGGGGCTACAGGGAGACCCTGTCTCAAAAAGACAGAAAAAAAAAAAAAGGTTTATTTTAGTGCACAGTTCCAAGTTACAGTCCACCATAGTAGGGAAGTCACAGCAGCAAGAATTTGAGAGAGGGTCACACCACATCTATAATCAGGAACAGAGAACAGTGAATGCATGTATGCATACTTATGCTAAGGGCCTTGCTCTTACTTAGTGAGGATCCCCTGCCTAGGGAATGGTGCCACCCACAGTGGGCTGGTCTTCCCATCTCAGTTAATGTGATCAAAATAATCCACAGCCATGCACATAAATTCATCTAGATTCTAGATTTCAGCAGGTTGACAACACTAAGCATCATATCAGCTGAGGCCTGAAAGACAAAGAATAGGAGTTGTAAGAGAAACTTCACATGGAAACTAGATAGAACTGTGTGACTGAGGGCTTCTGGTTGAGGGATACATCTGGCTTCCCTCCAACAGTGTCACAGACAGCGCAGGACAATAAAAGCCCAGCTATGTGCTGCTGTCCATTCTCAAGTCCATGGCACTTTCCATTGCACAAATCCAAGCAGAAGGCATGAGAAAGTTGTTACAGTACCTATAGGTTTGTGGGCTTGTACAAAGCCTGGGGGAGATGTATGGGGACTGTCAGGAAGAGTAGTTCACAGAAAGCATCCAACATGTGTGAACAAGTCCACCTCAAAAAAATAAGGCAATGCCGGGCGTGGTGACGCACGCCTTTAACCCCAGCACTTGGGAGGCAGAGGCAGGTGGATCTTTGTGAGTTTGAGGCCAGCCTGGTCTACATAGTGAGTTCCAGGACAGCTGGGCCTACAGAGAGACCCTGTCTCAAAAAGACCAAAAAATAATAATAATAAGGCAAGCAGTTTCCTTCCACAACTTCCCTGTCCCTCATAGAGGCAAGTACTGTGGACGGGTTTCAATCTAGCCTTCCTGAAAGATTCTAGGCACATATAAACATTTCTACACAAATGGTGCATAGTCTGTGCTATTGGTCTCCAAAGCAGGATCACTTGGCTTTATGTTTATCATTTATTTTAATGCTGCTAAATTTTTATGTTTTATCAGCTTCTTTGCATTGTTCTGACCTTCCCTCAAATCCACCTATTACCTAACAAGGGTTATTTTATATATGTATATATTGTTTATTTATTTTTTTTATGTGTATGAATATATTGCCTACATGTATTTCGGTGCACCCATGTCATGCCCACGGAGGTCAGAAGAGGGCATCAGATCTCCTAGAAGTGGAGTTACAGATGTTTGTTAGCCATCATGTGGGTGCTGGAATCCAACCTGGGTCCTCTGCAAGAGCAGCCAATGCTCTTAACTGCTGAGCTATCCCTCCAGCCCCTAAAAAGGGTTTTTTTTTTTTTTGGTCTTTTTGAGGCAGTGTCTCCCTGTAGTCCCAGCTGGCCTGGAACTCACTATGTAGACTGGGCTGGCCTTGAACTCACAGAGATCCACCTGCCTCTGCCTCCTGAGTGCTGGGATTAAAGGCGTGCGCCACCACGCACAGCTATAAGGATTCTTAAGAGCCTTCTAGAAGCTATCCCATTCTAATTCTTTTTAATTGCTACATAGTAAAGTTTTGTTTGTTTTGTTTATTGGTAATAGAAATTAAGCCCAGGCCTTACGCATGGTAAGCGTGCACTTTAACATTTAGCTATACCCAGTCCTTTTCTGTGTATTTTTGAGACAGATAGGTTGACCCAGGCTGGCCTTTAAACTCACTATATAGTCAAGTGACCTTGAACTCCTGATCCTCCCACCTCAGTCTTCCAAGTGCTAGGCTCATAGGCATGCCTGGTTACCCAATTGTTTTTTGTTTGAAAGGTGTGTGTATTTGTGTGTGTTTGAGGCAGTGTCTCCCTATAGCCCTAACTGGTCTAGAACTTATTATGTAGACCAGGCTGGCCTCCATCTCACAGAAATTTGCCTGTCTCTGCCTCCCTAGTCCTGGGATTAAAGGTGTGAGCCATCACACCAAGATTACACTGTGGTTTTAAGGTTATATCTTACTTTGTGGTTGTTCCTAGGCTTTTGCTATCAGTCAGTCTGTAGTTTGGATGTTTCGTCCATGAGTACCTCTGTAGGATAGGAGCCTAAAGCAAAAGTCTAGTTTCAAAGGTTATTACACGTTATTCAGCTAAAAAGCGCCAAGGTACCCTCTAAGAAGATGAAGAAGTGAACTTGATTGTAGGTGGTACACACCTGTAATCCCAGCATTCAGGAGATGAACTCTAGATGCTAAGCATAGAGCCCATATGAGGTGGACTGGAGCGTTACCTAGCTAGGCAAGGGGTATTTTGAGTTTCTGCATCCAAATCAAGTAACTTCAGTTACTGAAAGATAACAGGTGGCTCTTTTTTTCTTTATTAAACAGAATCCCACAGACATATCCTATGTATATAGTGGCTACGCCCCACTGAGCGTGCGACTGGCTCAGCTACTTTCCCGGCCCGGCTGGCGGAGTATTGAGGAGGTTCTCCGCATTCTCCCAGGGCCCCACTTTGAAGAACGGCAGCCACTGCCCACGGGGCTACAAAAGAAACGTAAGTCTCCCTCCAGTGTCCATCAACAGTTAATAGCTGCTAATGTGGCTTCCATGTACACACTTGCTTTGTAAAGGACATTTGTAAAGTTAAGTGTCAGACCCAAGCATCACTCCTTTGTTCGTTCTAATATTCTCACTGGGGCTGTGCTGTTCCTCCAGGAGTGGCAGCATTCAGCTCTGCATTGAGACTCCCAGACAGCAGTGCTGAGATCAAAATCAATGTTGGGGAGTTTTGTGTGAACTGCCTGTTCCAAGATACATTTGACCTTTTTATTCTTATAAACGGGGAAAAATTTTAAGGGGTTAGAGAGGCATCAATAGTAAATATTTTTGATTTCTGAAATGTTTACATTTTAGGTCAGCCAGGAGAAAACCGAGTCACTCTGATATTTTTCCTTGGGGGCGTAACCTTTGCTGAAATTGCTGCCTTGCGGTTTCTCTCCCAGTTGGAAGATGGAGGTACAGAGTATGTAATTGCCACCACTAAACTAATGAATGGAACCAGCTGGATAGAGGCCCTCACGGAAAGTCCTTTCTAGGCTCTTCAAAGGATACTTAACAAGTGTACTGCAGAATGAATGGCCTCTGAGCAAGGTGCTGAAAGGAGGTGAATGCTTGGAGCAGCAGGAATTTAGAAGTGACTTTGGGGCTCACTTCTTAGACTGTTGTTTTCTTCCTGCTTCCGTGTTCCTCATTTCTTAAAGGAGCATCAACTTGGATAAAAAGACACTGAACCAGGCATGGTGGGTCATGCCTATAATCCCAGCACTTGAGAGGCGGAGACAGGAGAATTGCTGCAAGTTTGAGACCAGCCTGGGCTATTTAGTGAATTCTAGGCCAGCCTGGGCTACAGAATAAGACACTGTAATAAAAGACCCCCCCTCCAAAATAAAAGAGACACTGATTTTGAATTTAAGCTCAAGGTCTTCATTAGCCTCTGGAGATACAGGTAAGGATGTGGGGATGGATAATCCACAGCCACACAAATGTGGGCAGTTACCAAGAAAGCAGAGACTAAGGCAGTAAAATGAAAACAAGTGGAACGTCCAACCTCTAATCCACAGTAGTATATTCTAGAAGATGGTGGTTTTGTGTTGAGGTCTTGGCTTACCTTATCCAAGTGTGTTCTTTTTCCCATAGGTGATAGCACATTTGTGCCTCTAATCTGTCTAATTGTTCCTAAGGCAAGTTTTTTGAAGGAGCTTCTTGATGCAAAATAGTTTCTTCTCTCTCTGATTTAGCTATATCTCTGTAGGTTCTCTACCTATGAGGGGCTTTCTGTGTTGAAGAATATAGTAATGAGGAAGCAGCTTCCAGAGACTTTAACCATTCAAACTTTTGCTACACATGCTATTAACTCCCAAGATGTTTCAGTGTAGGTGCCTCTGCTAAGGCTTCCGCTTTCTTCCATGTCTGTCATGGGCCCAGCATCCGCTGGCTTGACTGTTTCTTCAGCATGATGTAACTCTATCTCAATGGTAATTACCACATGCACTTATCTAGTAGCCTGTGGCCAGTTGTACAGACTTCATGCATCCCTTTTGCTACTTAGCTCTGTTTCAGTCCCTGGCCTTGTGACCTCAGCCACCCCTGCCCAATCTCAATCAATAATCTTAGTCCAGCAACCCTAGCTCCACTATGGCTGCAAGGAGTTAAGTATGGTAGAGAGCAGGATGTTGAAGAAACTGGAAGTTCATGTGTGCTCCTGTTTCCTGCTCATTCTAGCATCTGGAGGAGGTATGGGTGTCAGGGAGAAGACCAAACTGATGGCTTTTCTGCCATCATCTAAGTCATCTCCAGCAAAATTAGCTGGTCTCCACATTTGCCAGGTCCCACCCCAGGTGTGGCTTCTATGGTTGACTACTAACCACACGTTTTCTTCTCACCTTTTTTCATATAGAATTAAGAACAATAAACTGCATATTATGAGTGGAAGAAAATTAAGATTGAAGGGTGGCAGAGATTTTAGTTTGTTTCTCATGGACTTTATTTGGAAGTAGAAAACCAGTTTTGTGTTAGAAAATTCTTTTTCAAGCCAAGCGTGGTGGTACACATCTTTAATGCCCGCATTCAGGGAGGCAGAGGCAGATGGATCTCTGAGATCAAGGTCAACCTGGTCTACATAGTGAGTTCCAGGCCAGGCTACAGGGAGACCCTGTCTCAAAAAGACTAAAAAGAAAGAAAATTATTTTTCAGATACTCCAGGGAGATTGGTTTTACTTTTGAGCCCCAACAGTTGCCAACTTCAACTGCTTTTGGAGAATGAAATCCACCTTTTCCCTCAATGTTTTTAGCTCCTGGGATGGGATTCAAGTCTGGTCAAGTCTCCTTGGCTGGGGTTTTTGTGGAGTTAACCGATACTCAGGTGTAATCTCACGTGTCTGCATTCACTTGTCTCTATTTGCTTGCTCAGAGCATAGCTAGGTCAGCTCTGAAAAATGCATTCAGCAGAAGACTTTAAAAGAAAAATCAGTTGCTTCATTTTTATGCAAATAGTGTGTAGTGGATAATTATTTATTGTGTCTTTTTGTGTAAGTTCATTTAATATTTAAAGCTTTCTTTGTCTCAAAGAAGTATGCCCTTACTGAGAAAGGGTGTGTGAATGGAACATTATTCTTGGAGAGGATGGATTATTTACATCATGTCTGGACTTTTGTCTAGTTGGTTGGACCATTTTGCTACATCAGTAGTCCCCTTATTAAAGAAGCCCACATGCACACTGTTTTCTGTCTTTATTACACCTTTTTAAATTTTAGCCAGCAGAAAGATAAGTAGTTTAACTGGTTTGATTGTAGAGCAAGCAAGTAATGGTCAAGGTTGGAAAGGTTCAAACAGGACATTTAATTAAGACAGAATGAGGAAGGGCCTCCATGTGAGAACTCTGTTCCATTCTTGCTCTTTTCACACTAGAAATGGGTTGTAATTAATCAGACATGCTGGTCTGCCTTGTTCTGTTGAATATAAAAGGCCATCTGGGAGCTGAACATGACACTCCACACCTTTAATGCCAGCATTCAGAGGACTAAGGCAGAAAGACTAAAAGGCCAGCCTTGGCTATACAGTGAGAGCCTATCTCAAAAACAAAGGGAGGAGGGTTACTTTAGCAAGTGGTAGAGTTCATGCTTAACATTTTTGAGGCCCTGGGTTTATTCAGAAACAAAATGGAGGGAAAAAATAATAAAAACAAACCCCCATAGCTTCGCATTAGGAGGTAATGTTTATGTTCAACAGAATTGAATTCAAGCAAGAACATTTTTTGTTGTTGAGAGGTCTTCTTCAGACTATCAATTGCTAGGATTTACAGGTATTTTACCACCGTGCCCAGAAAATTTTTTTTTTTTAATTTTTAAAGTTTATTAGTACCAAACAACAAAAAAACCCACTACAGAACACAGAAGTATTCAAAGAATAATTTTAAATTCAGATTTCCCTGTAAAGTAACCATCTCTTATGAAATCATGTGGACACTGCCCATTTAAGGACTTATTTTGCATTAAAAATGTGTTACATTCTGACACTGGAATCCAAGGACTTAGATGAAGTATACTATATATATGAACCCATTAATATGCTTTTTAAAAATTATCTGTTCTAGCCGGGCGTGGTGGCGCATGCCTATAGTCCCAGCACTTGGGAGGTAGAGGCAGGCGGATCTCTGTGAGTTCAAGACTAGCCTGGTCTACATAGTGACTCCAGGACAGCTGGGGCTACAGGGAAACCCTGTCTCAAAAAAAAAAAAAAAAAAAAAATTATCTGTTCTTGGTCTCGTCCAAATGTTATAGTATACCCACATATGCATTTGTTTACATATATACATGTATACATTATAGACTAGGATCCACATACATGGGAGACATATTAAACATAGAAAATGGAATATAATTCAGCACTAAAGAAAAATCAAGCCAGGTACAGTGGCACATGACTTTAATTCCAGCACTCTGGTCTACATGTTGAGTTCTAGGCCAGCTACATAGTGAAACTCTGTCTCAAAAAACCAACCCCCCCCCCAAAAAAAATCATGAAGTCAGAGGACAACTTGGAGGAGTTGGTTCTCCCCTTCCATCTTGTGGCCTTGGGGATAAAATTCAGGTCATCAATCTTGGCAGCAAACACCCTTACCTGCTGAGTCATCTCACCAGCTCCTGTGTTGTATTTCTTAGCTTAGGTTACTCTTACTGCTGCAAAATACCCAACTTAGAAGGTTTGTAGAGGCTACAAAGTGTAGAACACAATAACTGCCTTGAGAAACCCATCTGAAGTATGTGAAAATGGAGGAACATAGTTGGGCTTACTTTGAGTAGCCTGGCCTTTTCATCTGTTCTTTAGCAGAGGGTGAGAAATGTGTATCACAGCCATCCTTTGCCTCCTCTGACTAGGCTGGACGTGAGAGCCCTTCAGACGACCAGTCCTCTGGGGAAGCATTACTACTCACTGACTTCCTGAGAGGCTTGATAATGTTCTGCTCCTGTTTTCAGCTAGGCTGCAGAGGCAATGATTTGATAATAAGAGATCCTGATTAAATTAAGAAGCCATTTGCTTCTGGATGATGACGTTTATAAAAGGGTTGAAATCCACACTGCCTGCTTTTCCAAAGATTAAAACATAGTCTTCACAATTTAGTACAAGCAAAATAATCAGAAGCTGTATATTTGTGTGTTCTTTTCCTTCATTGTTAATCTGGGAAAGTGTTCTTCGATTTCCTACCTACCTCCACTGGCCTCACTTTTGGAGAAGTTACACTTGGAAGTGGATACACCCAGAAGATGCCTGTGTAACGAGTTTGTAAACTGCTAAACTCTGTAAATTAGAATCAAGCACTCTGTAGCTGTCATATGTGGTTCTCACATATACGCATGCAAGCTCACACTTGACAGCTTTTGTTTTAGTAGGACGGTCACAGCAAACGTGCAATGGTTCTGCTTCTTCCCAGACTCTGGGGCTGCTCTCGCTGTTAGAGACCTATTGGCACTGCAGCTCAGAGTGTTGAGACAGGACAAGAAGGGGCTTGAAATATCCCCTAGTGTACCACTTGTTCAGGCCATGTAAGTCAGGCACTTTGCAAATCGCTGATGCCTGGACCTGTGGACTATGGAAGTGACACAGGAAGAGAGCCGGTAGGGCTGCCAGTTCCCCGCCTGGCTGGGGACTGCCTATGGGCAGCTCCTGGAGAGCTCAGAAACCACACGGAAGTTGTAATTGGTTGCTCGACCACACCTAGTTGTTGAGTGCTGGGGCTGCCTGAAGACCTCTCAGCTCTGCCTAGATCGCTGGAGTGTGCACAAGTCTACCTTCACTAGCCCAGAGAAAAGCTTCGGGAGCTGTGGTGGTGGAAGAGTCCTGGAAACTGCTAAGTGAGTGAAATGGGGAGAGAGGGAAGCTAGTAGCTGGCATTGAGCGGGAACTGCTGGGCAAGAGAGCAAGAGCTGGCTTGTGCTTGAGGTGAAATTAGCAAGGTTGGGATGCAAGGAGCATATTGGGAAGGGCAAGATCAAATTGGCATTCTCTAACTTGGCACGCTTGTGATTCTAATCCTGACTGGTCTGAAAACAAGCTTACGGGGCACAAAGAAAGCAAAGTTCCTAAGGTCTCCTATTGAGAACCTTGGGCCTGGAGAATGACAGAGGGGGATGCAGCAATGACCTGCTCCTTTCCGCCCACTCCCCAAATAGGGTTCAGAGCCGGGGTTGCAGCTTGAATGGAGGGAAAATAAAGCTGTATTCTACCAGCCCATTAGCGGTACCAGCTACATTAAAAATGCAGGAGATGGTGGGAGGAGAGGGCCGGATTGAAGTCTAATAACAGAGCCAGGACTGGGACAGGTCAGGCTTCTCCCTTGGAGCCCAGATCCCAGTGGAAGAGTGCGGGCAGCCATTACTTTAGAAGGCATTCTCTGGTGTACATGCAGAGAGCACCCAGAGGAGTTCTGAGAAACAGGCACTTTGGGCTTCCTTAGCCTTGAACGAGTGTCTGCTGTTTGAGGTCCTGCAGCATCCACCCTGCGCGGGGCCCCGCCCTCCGCGTGCTTAGAGTCTCCTGGGCTTTCTTTAGAGAGATGCCGGCCTCATCCACCATCCACGTGCTGCAGTTGCTACGGGAGCTGCTGGCCTTCGTCCTCCTCAGCTACACAGTGTTTATCGGGGCGCTGCTGCTGGCCGGCTGGACCACTTACTTCCTGGTGCTGAAGTGACAGCACCGCGTCCCGCGCTCGCCCCGCCCCACCCCACCCAGCGCTCGCCCCGCCCGTCCCTTCGCGTGCGGCCGAGCACACCCCGCCCCGCTAACCAACGAGCGCCCCGTCCCACATCCGGGTCCAGATGCAGCCCCGACCCGGCTCGTCATCCCTCGACCCAGGGCCCGCAGTTTCCGCGCTGAAGCTCCGGCGGTTGGGCGCCTGGTGGGCCCGTTAAAACCGTTACGTGGAGTCTCAGCCCGTCCCTTCCGCCTGTCCAATCGCGATAACCTCCTCGGATGGGGGCGTGGCCATGGAACCCCGTTCTCTCGGGGGCAGGCGCTCCGCCAGCTACTCGCTATGCTGCGTCACTTCCGGCGTGTGCGTCTGGCGTCTGTCCGCCGGGCGATGGCGGCCCTGAGGAGCTGGATGTCTCGGGGAGTAACCTCCCTGTTCAGGTACTGCTGCGGGGTGGAAGGCGGGGTGGCGGGCGACCCGGAGAGTGCGGTACCTGCCTCGCCCCGCCATGGGCGCTTTGCACTGGCCGCGGCGTCTGGGCTCTGGGAAGTTTGCTGCCGGCCCCGCCCCCGCCAGCGGTCTAACGGGAGTCCTCGTCCCCGGGCGAAAGGCTTTCTAGTTATCTGCGCTCCTAAAGGCCGGTCTCCCGAGCTGCCCCACGGGGACCGTCCACTCTAGCAGCCAGCGCGAAGTTCCCGCGGACAGGGAGCCACAGAAGGCCCGCGGCGGTGATAAATGGGTACAGAGGCCCTGGAAAGCCAGGCCACTCCGACGCCTGCGTTCCCGTGCCGGCCGGGACCATTAGCAGCACTTGGGTCCCAGGCCACGGGGCCTAGGCTAGCCTGCCGCCAGGAGGATTTCTATTGGGGGCTGGCTGGGGAGCAGCTCTGGGGCAGGTTTTAAGCCTCTCCACGTCGTGCAGCGCTCCCAAGCCTAGACCTGAGGCAGGGGCTTTAACAGGCCACCCCGCTCCACACCGTGCTGGCATCCTGGGCCGCTCCCACATCCTTGTAGTTTCTTGCTAGTTAACAGCTCCTGCAAATCCCAGAGTCTTTTATAAATTGATGTGCATTTTAAAATTTGGCTTATATTTCTAGGTACAGACAGTGTGTTCCTGTCTTGGCTAACGCTAAGAAACGCTGTTTCTCAGAATTGATAAAACCATGGCACAAAACTCTGTTAGCTGGATTCGGTGTGACCCTTTGTGCAGTTCCTGTTGCTCAGGTAAGGTACAGTCACGGGGCTCAGAGTTTCTTGTGGTGCACTGTATCCTGTTGAACTCTGAAGCATCAGAGAAACTGCCATAGTTTTCGAGCGCCACCTTCCATGACACTGTGCTTTGGACTATACCAGCATCTTCCTTTCAGAGTTGAGGAAATATGATGTTCCCATCTTCATGGTTTCATTGTTGTAGAATCAATATAGTTACCAGTTTTTGCACCCATACTATTCCTACACCCTTTCCCACCCCCAAATTGTGGAACCAGTAAAACTGAGCCCCAGTTGAACTGGGAAGGAGCCCTTTATTCGTGGGCCAAAAAGAAGTGAGAGAGAAACTGGTAACAGGAGGCAGGTATATTCATGTCTTCTAAGACTAGGTGGAGAGTGCCTAGGAATTCCGTTGTCACTTCTTTTTGTTCCTTTTATGGTTCTCTTTAGTCTTCACTGAGGCAGTTATCAACTGTCTCTATGTGTCAGTTGACCTGCAGATGGGATTATAATGGAGTTGGAGGTTGCTTGTCTGTCACTTGGCAGCCATCTTAGATCCCACTACTTTTAGACTAAGCCCATTTGAAGAGGATACGATTATGCTAGATAAGCATGCCTTTAATCCCAGTGCCTTGTGGGTTCCCAGCTGGCTGGGGCTACAGGGAGACCATGTCTCAAAAAGACAAAGGATTAAAATATTTTTTAAATTTTTATTGAATTTTTGTATTTCACACATAAAATCATCTTTGTACTCCCTTCCCCTTTGACACCCTCCCATAGGCCCCCCGCCCCCACTGGAGTTCATACCTTCTGCTTTTGTGTTAAGGCCTGTTGTGTAAAGTTAGTGTCCTGAGATGTCCCTCAGTGCAAGTTCATCCACCAGGGTTTAATTAGCCTATCTAGAGTCTCCCCCTTCAAGATCAGCTCTTCCTCACCCAGCAGTAATCAGCTGCCAATGATTCTTTGGCTAAGATTGGTGCTTTCCAGAGTTCTGTGCTGGGTTTTTGTCTGCCTAAGTTTGCATGGGTCTTGTGTATGCCGACACCATTGCTGTAGGTTGGTATGAGAAGAGTCCCAAGCGCCTCTAGGACTTTTTCTGTATGGTCATGCACCTCCTCCCTGGCTCTTAAAATCTTTCTGCCCCCTCTTCCACCATGGTCCCTGAGCACTGGGTGGGTGGACCTCAATAGAGGAGACCTGTCCAAGGACCCACAGTCTGCCAACTCTTATTCTCTGCATTTTGGCCATTTGTGGCCTTTTGTGTTCCTGGCCCTCTGTTGTATGAGGGAGTTTCATTGATGAGAATTACATTAGTGTTTTCTTCATCCCTTGTACTATGTTCTGTGAGCCTTAGGGGTAGAGGTTGCATCCTAGACGTGCCACTTAGTTTGGACAATTCACAGAGAATCTCTCCTGTGTGACTAGTGGTGTAACTCTTTAATAATCTCTTGTCTGTTGAAAAAGAAGCTGCTTTGATGGGTGGTGCCTAGGATACTTGTCTGTAAATTTAAGGATCTCTGCAAGCATTGTATGACACAGGTGCCCTTACATGCAGGCAATATGCTCATACACATAAAATATATTTTAAAAACAGAGTCTCCCTGTATCTGGCCTGGAACTCACTGTATAGACCAGGTTGGTCTTGAACTTGAGAACTTACAGAGATCCTACTGCCTCTGCTTCCCGAATGCTGGGATTAAAGGCATGTACCACCATGCCCAGCCAAAAAATTTACTACATTTACTTTGTGTGTGGACATCAGAGGACATTTTGGGGACTTGGTTCTCTCCTTCCGTATGAGTCCCTTAACCTGCTGAGCCATCTTGCCAGCCCACAACAATCCTTTTTTTCTTTCAGAGAATTTTTCCTTTTCTCTGTTTACATGCTGCTTTCTAGCCTAAGTTACTGGTCAGTTCTGGGCCACATGACTAGAGCAGAGCATCTACAGTCATTCTCCTGTAGTGTACTAGTCCTAATTCTGGTTTATAAAAACCCAAATGACTCCATTATGTGTTACAGAGCTAAAATACAACTAATTATTTTGCATTCCGGTGTCTTTGCCAGTTTCAGTCCTCTTGTACTAGTGAGGCTAGATTCCTACACATCCCTTGCAGCTAATGTATTCTTCGCATTTTCTTCCAAGGACCCTTGACCATCCTAATCTTAGCTGTCTTCTGTATTTAAAGGCTTTCCCAGTTCCTGGTCAACAACAATCCTCTCTGGCCACTAGATAACTGTATATTTTGATATTTGATAATAGCTGTTCTCTCTTGAGTCAGCAGAATATAAGACAATAAACGGCATAGGCTTTAGGCAAGATTTGGTTTAAGGTCTAACTAGATGTGAGACTTTTGGGGGACCTCACATGACTATTCTGGCTCTGCATTTCATCAGCTATAAAAAGAAGTGATACTATTCATACTGTTGTATAAAATTAGTATGCTATTGGGGGAGGGGTAAAAAGACTTAAGTTTTCAGGATGCTATGTCAAAAATTAGCCTCTTAGCCATGCGTGGTTGTGCGCTCCTTTAATCCCAGCACTCGGGAGGCAGAGGCAGGCAGATCTCTGTGAGTTCAAGGCCAGCCTGGTCTACATAGCGAGTTCCAGGACAGCTGGGGCTACAGGGAGACCCTGTCTCAAAAAACAAAAAAAAGCCTCTTGTGATCAGAGATGTCCTTTGTATTTCATAAGAATGCTTAGTAGAATGAAATATAGATGTGATTCTTTTAATATTTTGTTTTTACTTTATGTCTATGAGTGTAATGCCTGCATGTAGGTACGTGCACCCCTGTCATGCAGTGCCCTCAGAGGTCAGAAGAGGGTGTTGGATCCCCTGGAGCTGGAGTTTCAGATGGTTGTCAGCTGCCATGTGGGTGCTGGGACTTGAACCCAAGAACAGCCAGTGGTTTTAACCACTGAGCCATTCCTCCAGTTCCTGTGACAAGATTCTTGATTTGGTCACGTATGTTTGATAGCCGTGCTGCTTTTAACAGACCATTATTCTGGGATTTTATACTCCCAAGTAGCAAAAACAAGTTAGTAAAGTAGATCATAGAGCAGTTAGTCCTGATAGAGCAAGTGCTCTGTTGAGAGAAAAAACATAGCCTTTATAGATAGGTGGTTCTAGTTTTTAGTCAAGGTGGCCAAATTCCACAATTCTGACAGTCATACTGATCTTTTTTCAGTGTAATAGCTGAGGTTAGAGTGAATAGCTATTCTCTAGTCCCCAAGACCATGCTAATTCTGGTCGATTTGTCTTCCCACATCTACCCATTTACTGTTAAGACTCGGTTTATTCCTCATCAGACCTATGAAAACTTTTAGCTAATAACACTTCAATATAGAATTGGTAGTTTCCTGTGTGCCTCCTATATGTCAGCTCCCATGACACTAGATTATGTTTTCTAGTTCTTTGTCCTCTGAGCTCCCTCCCTGCCTGAAGTCTTTGAGGGAAAATGTCTTTTATATTTTAAGCATCTAATACTTCATGAATTTGATTATAACTATCATTGTATTTTCTATAAAGTAGGTTCTCTAGGGCAGAGAATGAAAGTAAGTAGAAACTTTACCCTGAGTTTATTTCCCTGTTATCTTAAATCACCAAAATAAAACCTAAAGAAAGTTATCTTAGAGTGCTGTTGCAGCATAAAACACTAAGGAGTGTCAGAATTATTTTTTTTTTCTTGATCTTAAGTTCTCATTTTGAGCTTTAGGTTGGAGGTTGAATGATGGTATTTATGTTTTTCAGAAATCGGAGCCTCATTCTCTTAGTAATGAAGCATTAATGAGGAGGGCTGTGTCTTTGGTAACAGATAGCACCTCTACCTTTCTGTCTCAAACCACATATGCACTGATTGAAGCAATCACTGATTATACTAAGGTACGTCTTCTTTTGTGAAATCTTATTTTCTTCAGTGTTAGGATGGAACCCAGAGGTTTGATAGTGTCGGGCAAGTACTCTGCTACTAAGCTACAACTCTCATTCCTTTTTTTTTGGAGCTAAGGACCGAATCCAGGGCCTTGCACTTGCTAGGCGAACGCTCTACCACTGAGCTAAATCCCCAACCCCCTCATTCCTTTCTTAGTATTGATTTTCTAAACCAAAGGTTTACAAATCTAGTCCAGTATCTGTGTTTGTATTTTATTGGAACTTGGGCAGGCATATGTATTGTGAGAGTTGAAGTAGCTTCAGCAGAGATTATAAGGCTCACGAGCCTAAAATATTTACTCTTCAGGCCCTTATACAAAAGGTTGCTGAGGGCTGGGGTTGTAGCTCAATTGGTAGAGTACTTGCCTAGCATATGTGAAGCCTGCAGTTTAATCTTCAGCAGTGCATAAACTGGTGGTGCACAGGCATGGTGGTGCTCACGTAGACTCCCTCAGGAACTAGAGGTGAGAGTAAGTTCAAGGCCAGTCTAGGCTATACAAGACCCTGTCTCCAAAAAAAAAATCTTTAAAAAAAGGTTGCTAATTCCAGATCTAAATCATTGGTTTTTATACTTTACAGGGATCTGTTCCCCATTTTTTATTTTACAGAAAAATCTTAAATAGCTTATTACATAACTAGGAGCCAGTCTTACCTGGCTCAGTAGGGTTAAAGGGAATATGTGGATACTCAGTCTACTTGGCACTGTGGTCCCAGTACCTGGTCCTAGGTACTTAGGAGAAGGATTGCTTTGAAGACCATCATGGGCACCATAGTGAAATCCTTGTCTTTAAAAAGTCTCATGTATTTACCTACATCTTTCACTTCTTTTTTCAGTCTACATTGTGTTGTCTGATTTGCTTAACAGCATTTTTTTTTTTTTTTGGTCTTTGTGAGACAGGGTCTGGCCTGGAACTCACTGTGTAGACCAGGCTGACCTGGAACTCATAGAAATCCACCTGCCTCTGCCTCCCGAGTGCTGGGATTAAAGGTGTGTGCCACCATGCCCGACTTAACGGTATTCTTAAAAAACAAGTTTACAGATGAGATAGTAGTGTCCTAGAATGATGCCTCCACTTCATACAGTGTACAGTTTCACTAAGGTACAAGAACTGGAGAACCAGTTTGCTTTGATGGGACTTTATATTTTCTGATTTGAGACAGTCTCAGTATGTAGCTCAGGCTGGCCTCAGATTTGCTCTATATCCCAAGATGATCTTGAACTTGCAATCCTCTTGCCATAGCCTTCCCAGTGCTGGGATTACAGGTAAGTACCACCACCCCAGAACTTTGAGGTGTAGATGTCACTTGGTCCCTCCAGTATGCTTCACTCACTTTACTCAGGTTACTTATTCTGTTTGTAGGCTGTTTATACGTTAGTGTCTCTGTATCGACAATATACAAGTTTACTTGGGAAAATGAATTCACAGGAGGAAGATGAAGTATGGCAGGTGATCATAGGAGCCAGAGTTGAGGTAAGTCATTTCCATATAATGCTGCTGTTTGTAGTATCTAAACTATTAGCTTGAGATTGTCTACTGTATCTGTTGTTTTAACTGTGCTGAACCTCTTCCTGTTGTCTGGAGCTTTTTTCTAAATTTACAGATGACTTCAAAACAACAAGAGTACTTGAAGCTGGAAACCACTTGGATGACTGCAGTTGGCCTTTCAGAGATGGCTGCAGAGGCTGCGTACCAAACTGGTAGGTTAATTAACATGGGGAATTGCCATTTGACTTTTTTTTTCTTTTTTTTTTTTTAATATTTTTGGTCTTGCTTTTTTTTTTTTTTAATATTTTATTTTATTTCATGTGTATGAGTATATTGCCTTGCATGTATGTGAGTGCACCCATATCATGCAATGCCGCGGAGACTGGAAGAGGGCTTTGGAATCCCCTAGAACTGGAGTTGAGGACAGTTCATAGCCGCTATGTGGGTGCTGGGAATTGAACCCGGATCCTCTGCAAGAGCAGTCAGTGCTCTTAACTGCTGAGCCATCTCTTTAGCCCCCCACCATTTGACCTTTTTAAGACAGGATCTCACTATATAGCCCTGGCTGGCCTGGAACTCACAGAAATCTGCTTATCTCCTCTGTACTGAGATTAAAGGTATGCAACACCGTACCCAGCCCAGAGTTTGTAAGTCCTGCATCTCAGAGACTCACAGGTCAAAAAGACCAAAGAGATTGTAGCTGTTCTAGATTTTTTTTTTTTCCTTGCAGTTTATGTGAAGGCCTAAGGTTGATACTGGGAATCATCTTCTGTTGCTCAATTCAATGAGCAACCTTATTCAATGAGTCAGGGTCTCTCAAACTCAACTGATACGGCTAATGAGTTTGCTCTGCGGATCCTTTGTCTCTGCCTTCTGAGACTGGAATTGCAGACAGGCCACAGTACCCACCAAGCATTTAATCACTGAGCTATCACCTCCACCATTCCCAGATTTTAAAAAGCTTAACCCACGTACACACTCTGTGTATACATACATGTAAATATAAAATATTGCCCTTCCTCCCAGAAAGTACACATGCATTTAAGACAAAACATACAAAAACTGATTTTCTACCAGTTGATAAGACAGCTGAACTCTTTCAGAATTTTCATTCATTAACCCTCAACCTACTACCAGAATTTCTATCCTGTAAAATTTAAATGTGCTTCCTGGAGTAAGGGGACTATAGCTCAGTGGTAGTATCTTGGCATGCATGAGGCCCTGAATTTCTTATTTAGCACTTAAAAAACATAAAAGCATGCTTATTAAAAATCACAGGTTAGGAGGATGTTTAAGAAATTAAAATGAGGGGTCTGGTGCGATGGCTCACTGGGTAAGAGCACTAGCTGTTCTTGCACAAGACTCAGGTTCAAATCCCAGCACCCACATGGCAGCTAACAATAGTCCAAAACTTCAGTTTCAGGGGATCTTACACCCTTTTGTGTCCTCCATAGGTACTGCATGACATGAGTGCACTTACATACATGGAGGCATAACACTCATACACATAAAATAAAATTTTTTAAAGTTGAAATGGCCGGGTGTGGTGGTGCACGCCTTTAATCTCAGCACTCGGGAGGCAGAGGCAGGCGGATCTTTGTGAGTTCAAGGCCAACCTGGTCTGCATAGTTCTAGGACAGCTGGAGCTACAGGGAGACCCTGTCTCAAAAAGACCATTGCATGACACGGGTGTACTCACATACATGCAGTCAATACACTCATATACATAAAAATTAAAAAAATATTTAAAAAAAATAGGATTCTGAGAATAAATGCAGTCAGTATATAGCAGAAACAGGATTATAGATAAAAGTAGTTCTTAGAACTGGGGAGTTGCCTCAGCCATAAAGTGTGCAATACAAGCATGAGTACTTGAGTTTGGATCCCCAGCACCCAGGTAAAAAAATCCAGATGTGTGCTGGAGATGGTGGCACACACCTTTAATCCCAGCACTTGAGAGGCAGAGGCAGGCAGATCTCTGAGTTTGAGGCCAGCCTGGTCTACATATCAAGTGTCAGGCCAGCTGGAGCTACAGGGAGACCCTGTCTCAATAAGTCAAATAATCCAGATGTTGCAGTGCATACCTGTAACACAGCACTGAGGGGATGGAGACCCTAGAGCTTGCTGGCCAGCCAGTTGATGAGCTTCATGTTCAGTGAGAGATGACATTAAAAAAAAAAATAAGGCACAGAAGCAATTGAAAAGATACCTGATGTCAGCATCTGGCCTCCCCCACAAGTGTTTACACACAAAATTTCGCTCGGCATGGTTGCACATACCTTTAATCCCAGCACTTAGGAGGCAGAGGCAGGCAGATCTCTGAGTTCAAGGCCAGCCTGATCTACATGGTGAGTTCCAGGCCAGCTGGGGCTACAGGGAGACCCTGTCTCA